CACTCTGGAGGAGTACAGTTCTTGGAGAGAAGGGAGGGTTGTACCAATGATTCGCTCAGCAGTATGGACTACCCTCTGTAGTCTTCTGAGGTTAGATTTGGTAGCTGAGCTGAACCAGACAGTTATAGAAGTGGACTGTTAAAGTATAAAGAGTGTACTTTCATTAACTGTTCCCTCCTGGTGGAATGACCTGCCCAACTCAATCCGAGCAGCTGAGTCCTTAGCCATCTTCAAGAAACGACTAAAAACACATATGTTCCACCTTTATTTGACCCTCTAAGTCTAGCACTTTCTATTCTACTTTATCTATATTTATCTTTTTTTTTTTTATAAAAAAAAGGCAATGTAGCAGTTCTTTGTATAGATGGTGAATATAACACAGTTTCGCAGGAGATCGTGGAAGGGAGACGGAAGACAGCACACCTCAGATGACGAGTACTGAAAAGATCCACGGAGATGATCACTGGAACAGATGAAGGAATGGAACACACTGGAGGAGACACAGGAGGTAAATACAAAAGGCAGGTAGTTCAATGTACCGCATAGAATCCACTTCGTATGAACGAGACCGGACACGAGTGAAGTGAGATGTGTGCTTTTGTATTAGTCTTGATGAGTGCAAATTCCAAACAGGTGCATGCAAACAGTACTCGCTGTGATTGGGTGGTGGCTGAGCCTGGCCGATCTGTTACAGTCTCCCCTCCACGACCCGCTCCTGAGGGCTGAAGACCCCGAGGGAGAGGTAGGCCACCACGACTCGGGGAGATCTGGATGAGTGGGACCCATGAACGTTCCTCTGGCCCATAGGCTTCCCAGTCCACAAGATATTCTAAGAGGCCACCACGATGCCGGTAGTTCAAGATCTCGTTGACCTTGTAGATGGCACCATCCTCTTGGATTAACGGAAGAGGGGGGTTCTTCCGTCGGGGCAGGCTCTGTGGAGACAGAACCAGGAGGATGGTGTGGTTTAAGCAGTGACGCATGGAAGGAAGAGTGAATCTTATAATGTGAGGGAAGCTGAAGTTGGTACGTGACTGGGTTTATCTGCTTGATGATGGTGAAGGGGCCAACATATCTGGGACTGAGCTTCTTGCAGGGCAGGCACATCTTGATGTCCCGTGTTGACCGTGTTCCTCCTAGCTGCAGGGATGCTGTATTCTCGGAGTGCTGGGCTTCCCGGCATAGACTGGGGCTTGACTAATTATGGTGGCATTGTTTGACCATTTGCCATTTGTATTACACTGCTGTTGATTTTTGCTGTCACGTTTAGTAACTTGTCTTGCGACGTCAGAGTGCGTTTGTTCCTCTCCTCAAAGGGATCTGTTGATTGTTACCCTTGTCATCTTTCAGGCAGCAATTGCTGAGTTGTGTGGCATTCATGTGTTTTTATATTATAGTTTTCATGAAAATGTCTTAAAAGAAAACATTAGATGAGTGGCATGATGTAAAATAACAAAAAAATAATTCATAGAACTGTCTTTAACTTTTTTTTTTTTTTTTTTTATGAATTTTCCTGAAAGTTTTGCATTTCCTTCATTGTTTTAAAGTTGTATGAATTTTTTTTTTTTTTCACAATTCCAACACTGCCTTAATGAAAGCCGATTGAAGTGACAGTTAGTACCATATTTGTGATCCCACTGGTGTCAATTACTGACCAAAGGCAAAAGTTAAGAAAATCTAAAAATGTCAATTACAGTTTTTCATAAATATTTAAGCCAATTTGCATTAGAATGGAGATGTGTGGAATATGACCCCTGAGAGAGAAAGAAGAGAAGACAATCATGCAAAATAACAATGTTGGCTGCCTGGCTTAATTAGTTGCACATGGCGCATACAAATGCGTGTTTATATAAGACATTATAAGGAGAATGTCTGTGAATGAGTCTTAGTTCACCCTCATACAAGTCTTATTTTCTAGTGTTACAATGGTAAAGTGTTAAATTAGATCTGTATGATTTTGTATTTTTCTGAGTTATAATCTTACACAAAGTACTGTAAAGCCACACACTCTTTGGTAAAATTGTTCTAAACAGTACTGGTAAACATTATAAATTTTATTTTTACTCTTCTATAGGTGCATTTATTTTTCATTGACTTGGAAAATTATAGCAGAATGACAGTGATCTAACAACAGTTATTAGCTAAATGTGACTGGGCATTTTTATGCATAAACCCAAATAATAATAAAAAAAAATATGGATCATAAATTCATTATCTCTGTCACTTGCTTGCTAGAGAAGATAAGTATCCTCAACTGAACAGAGCTGATCATACTTACATGATCTGTCAAACAACTGAAAAGAGAGAAAAAAAGACAACTAACTTACTGACTATTCTTTTGGTAAATGTTAAAATTTCAAAGAATATATAGACATTTCAAGAAGCACATACCTGTAAAAAGAGTGTGCAGCTGGATGGCTGAGCTCCAGAAAATTAATAATGAAGCAGCTTTGAAAGGATTTTTACAGAATAAAATAAACCTAAAAGAAAAGCCTAACACAACTAACCATTTTAGCATAAAACAGTTCTTCAGAACGTTATGGTTCTAAACAGAATTGTTAAAGAACCTTTAATCAAAGGCGGACAAAATACACAACTTCATTGCTTGAGTGAAAGTACAGATACTACTGGTCAAATACTACTCCACTACAAGTGAAAGTTGTAAAGACAGATTTTTACTTAAAGGGATAGTTCACCCAAAAATGAAAATTTGATGTTTATCTGCTTACCCCCAGGGCATCCAAGATGTAGATGACTTTGTTTCTTCAGTAGAACACCTTTGATGATTAAGTCCAACCATTGGAGTCCATCAGTCTTATAATGCGTGGCAATGGTAAAGTCTATGAGTGTAAAAAAAACATGCACAGACAAATCCAAATTAAACCCTGTGGCTCCTGACGACACATTGATGTCCTAACACACGAAACGATCGGTTTGTGCCAGAAACCGAACAGTATTTATGTAATTTTTTACCTCTAATACACCACTATGTCCAACTGCTTTGAGCACGCGCACGACTTCTGGTGCGTGAGGTGTGTACGCGCTCTGGCGTAGTTTACGTAAGCGCCGGAAGTGATCTCTCGCGCGTATACATCACTCATTGTTTACACGGTGCACAGGCATTGTAGGTACGCCGGCTAATCAAAATGGTACTTACTTGCGCTTATCCGGATTGTTCAAACTGACTTTTGAGCCTGCTCGCCTGAAGTTATGGTTGATTGCTCTTCGGCTGGATATCAACACACTGTGACGAGTCGGCTGCCTCCCCCTAATTATCAGCATTACTCCGTCCCTTAATCGCCGCCCTTGTGAGGAGGGGTGCTGAAATAGCCAGGGCTGGCGGCGTGTGATGGGGCACACCTGAACCGAATGGAGCCTCATCACCACCACTGTTTAAATGCCGAGCGCGCCTCTCCTCGGGAGACCGGTCTCTTCCCCGTGCATGCACGCTGGTGTCCTCGTGGGTCCAGGAAGGGTGC